ACAAGGACCTTTAGAACAACCCTCACTTAAAGTTTAGGGTGTAGAGTTGAGGGATGTAGTATTGAAGCATTTTCTAGTATTCATCAGCTTCAGCATCACTGGACATGCCCAGCGGAAAAAACCACGCAACATCGCGTCATATAAGCATACAAGCACAAGAGCCCATGGCATGCGCCCGTGACTATTGCAACGAAGACTCATCAGTCGTAGTTTGGTACTACCATTGCTGCTACGACGACGATGACGACGACGACGACTACTACTACTACTACTACTACTACTACTGCTACTGCTACTGCTACTGCTACAGCTACTACCACGGTCTTTAGGGCTTGTTGCTAAGTTATAACTGTTATAACTGTTGCTGTTTTGTCCACAGCATACTTAAACTCAGGTGCCTATTGCTACGAAGACGATGACTACAAGTACGACCGCGTACACTTCTTTAAGGATGAAGGGCTTTTGGGCTTGTGTTTTGTTTTGTTATCCATTGTGTTGCGGGGCGATGTGTGTAGGGTAAGAGGGACTCGTCCGCAATCCGGCATTTCCATGGTTTCAGCTTGATACGGGCTTGTATGACTTTGGAGGTTAAGGCTTTAGTGCTTGCACAGGATTGAGTAGAAGTTGGGAGGTTGTTGCCGGCCGAGGCCACGACCCCGTGTGCCGGCGCTTGAAAACTCTGCAGCGGACGGCCACTTTTCAGAGCTTGCCTTGCTGGGAACAGCTTGGGTTCATCTTCCTGGCATCATATTGCCGCAGCACCAAGTGGCTTGTCTTTGAACAGAATTGTAGACGCAATTTGTCGCCTTTTTTAGATTGATCATGAGCAGCAACACTCAGGTTGGCACTGTTCATCCTCAGCGAAGCCCGGTCATTGAAGAAGCAAGACAAACTCTGTTTGGCAGCCACCATAGTCAAGCATTTCAAAGCAACGGGGGTCTTGTGCAAACGGAAGCGCTTCCTGGCAAACAAGACAGCTTCGAAGCGCAATGTCAAGCAAGGGACAACAATGAAGGCCGAGACCTGACCCTGTGGCTCTTGCAGTTGTTCTTCTTGAATGGAAGGTTGTTGAAGCATAGTTTGAAAGGCCAAGAGTCAAAGAACTGGGTGGTCTCTCCCATGATGTCCGCTGCAGCTTAGCACAAGCTTGTGTGTCGGCATGACGGGCTTTCAGAGCCAGACGATGCTCCTCGAAGCGGCTCTGAACACTTGCCAGCACTTGGGACACAGCGCCAGACCAAGTTTGAAAGAAACGAGCATTTGCCCCATTCCCCATGGCCCAACCATCATCGTCCGGGCCCACCGCATCACCGCCGCCCGACCGAGCCACTGCAACGTGGCGAGGATATGGAGAAGCATGAGACGAGAGGCCTCGCAGGGGATGTCATCAAGCATTACATTTACATGACACAACCGGCGCATTCTTGCGACTACCTCATGAGCAGAGAAGGTCTGCCACGCAGGGCTGACATATCCTGGAATGCATAATGACATGTTTGATGACGCTGGCCTTACCCGCATCGAAGATTCAATTCGGTGGCCCATGTCAGAACACAAAGTCTTCTGAAAACAAAGCAACCCAGGAACTTTTTGCTTTTCAGAAGAGGAGTAGCTTGGCTGACATCTTTGAACAGCTATTGTGGCAGTCATGCATGTTCGGCTACGGAGGGTCAAGACAACGTTAAACTAAAAATGAGACCACCCAGGTATGTGGGTTGGAACTACACAGCCCAAGCTGAACGACAAGCTGGCAGCGTTTTGGAACGAAGGCCGCTTGCCCTTGAACCCTAAACCGTCAAACCACTCTGTCTGCCTGGGAGCTTGTTTGTATTTCTCTGTGCCCACTGCCCAGGCCTCGCAACTCTGACAAGTGAGCGGCAGGTCCGTAAGCCAATGCACTATGGGCTCGCCCTTAAAAAGAAAAATGGAACGAGTACATTGCATGAGTGTATTTAGTGTTGTTCCGTGTGGCACGCTTGCATGCGAAGTGACCGAAGTGACCACTCACTGTTTGGTGGACTCCGTGATATTTAACCACCGGATGTGGCCTGTATATGCTACATATCATCGTCCTTTCAATGACAAGGCAGTTAATTTTTGTCTCGCTTTCTTCTTCTTTACCCCTTGCTTTATTTTCTGACCACCTTGAACGAGGACAACATTTCATTACACCTTTTGAATTTTGTCGTGCTTTCTATTTGCGAACCAAACGGAAAACGGTAGGGTCCGCCTGCAAATGGCCGGCCACGTGTGCGGCAGGCTGGCATGCTTCTGGACGACAAGCCTCCTGCCATGGTGCTCGAGAAACGAGGTTTCTCGACAAACTCTCAACCGGAACATTACAACTAGCCCAGAACTAGTACTAGTAATGACATTGCCAGTCATAGTTTCGCCCCCATGCTGCCAGGTCAATGGTTCAAGCAACGAGAGACAGTCTTCTGCTAAAAGTGTTCGCGGGCGCCGCGCCGAAGCGAAACAAGCCCGAAAAGACGCGAGTTATGCAAGGAGCCTCACTGGGAAGTTGTCCGATGCAGCGGCTCCTTTGTACGAGTTCGACACTCGCACTGGCAACTGCGAGCGGAACCAGCCAGTTCCGGTTACAGCCTGGGCCCCGGTTCTCGACAACCAGTCTCTGTTACGGCAATCCCCCTGTTATTGAATTGCACAATCTGGACCGAACTCTGGCGGATCCAACTTCAAATTATCTCAGTCCTAACAGCGCAGGGCCAACACCAAGGTAGAGGATCTCGCCTTGCTGTGGCGCAACCACAGCAGCCCCCGACAGCAGCCCCTTTTCGGACATGAAGCAAAAAAAGGCTTCTGCTGGTTCGACTTCGATGGGTATCGAAAAGTATCCTGCCTGCACCTTCAGCACCCAGGCTAATGCCAAAGGTGGCTGGCCCTGGAGTGCAACAAAATCCGCGATGCAAGCATTCATGAAATGGCAGTGATTGCTTAAGTACTGGCGTCACCAGGGTTAGTTTGTCTGAAAGGGACGTGCAAGTAGAAACACAAAATATGCAGCCGGAGTATTGTATAGAATGAATTGCGAAAAAGGTGCATTGTTGGGTCTCACGGTTTCGAGGTGTTTAACGGATTTGAAAAAGCACAATCAAGATGCGACCGTCAAATAGAGCATAAAGGTTCTATACGTACATCTTACTAAAGGCTACTTGATAGGAGCACCCATTAGGGGATCGAACTTTCTAGACCCTTTTGGGGGGTCTACGCTAAACCCTAAAACCCTAAACCCTACCCCCTACACCCTAACCCCTAAACCCTAAACCCTAAACCCTAAACCCTAAACCCTAAACCCTAAACCCTAAACCCTACGGCACGTGATGCAAAGAACCTCACGGAGCCGCCGCAGCTCTCTCCCCGGGCTTTCGGCACAGGGCCGCGGCTCCTTTTCTCTGATTTCGGGCTTGGGGCTGTAGGGTTTAGGGTTTAGGGTTTAGGGTTTAGGGTTTAGGGTTTAGGGTTTAGGGTTTAGGGTTTAGGGTTTAGGGTTTAGGGTTGCAGGTTTAGGGATTCGGTGTTTCGGGTTTCGAGGTTTTGGCTTCGGGGTTTAGGGCGGTTTCAAAGGGGTTTTGGGATTGGCGGATGTATGGTCGATGCTTTCGTAGGGGATTCATGAGTTAGTCTCTGATCTCACGGTCTCGAGCACTTTTGGAGCTGTGGGCAGGCATGAGAATTTGTTAAAATTGTATGAGGGCTCCATGCGGCTCTTATAACCCTAAACCCTAAACCCCAAACCCTAAACCCTAAACCCTAGATTTTCTGTTATCTTGAGATTTCTGGGTTTTAGTTTAGGACGGTTTAGGGTCTAGGGCCTAAGGCGGAAAGTGTAGGGCGGTTTAAGCTTCAGGGTTTCGGGATTAGGGTTTAGGGTTTAGGGTTTCGGGTTTAGGGTTCAGATTTTCAGGTCTCCGGCTGAAGGAACATTTCGGGCGTCGGCTCTGCTGGTAATAGATTGTTTTGGTCTTGGGTTTTTCTTGGTCTTGGGGTTTGTGGGCCTCAACCCTAACCCTAACCCTAAACCCTAAAATCCATAAATCCCCAAATCCCCAAACCCTAAGACCTGTAAACCCTAAAGGACCTTGGCACTTGAGTTCTCTTAACCTCTAAGCCCTAAAACCGTACACCCTGAACCTTACAACCCTAAATCCTAAAATGCACTAAACCCTAAAGAGGCCCGAAACCCTTCATAGGCCCTAAATCCTAAATGCCCTAAACCCTAAACCCTAAAATGCCCTTAACCCTGAACCCTAAAATGCCCTAAACCCTAAACCCTAAAATGCCCTAAACCCTAAGTAGGCCCTGAAATGTTCATCACCGTTTGGGTAGTTGTCTAAATTAGGGTCCCTTTGGGGGTCCTTTTAATGAGGGTGCCGTACTATATCTGGGACCTAAAAGGGACCCTAATTTAGAGAACTACCCATTTCCAAAACCTGGGACCTAAAATATTCATCACCACTTCCCTAAACCCTAAACCCTGAACCCTAAACCCTAAAATGTTCAAGACCCGGGACCTGGGACCTTGGGGGGTCTGGCCTCGGCGGCGGCGGCCGCGCGCAACTCGCGCCCTGGCCCAACACCTCAGGGTTTAGGGTTTAGGGTTTAGGGTTTAGGGTTTAGGGTTTAGGGGTAGTTCTCTAAACGAGGGTCCCTTTTAGGGTTCCTTAGGAGGGTTCTATAAGGATTTCTATAAGGTTTTCTTTTGGGGCCTAAGGTTTGGAATTTAAGGTTCGGGCTTTAAGGTTTATGATTTAGGGTTTAGGGGTTTAGGGTTTAAGGTTTAGGGTTAAGGTTTAGGATTTAGGATTTCAAGTTTAAGGTTTAGGGTTTAGGGGTTTGGGGTTTAAGGTTTAGGGTTTGGGGGTGTCAGGTTTGGGGTTTAGGGTCTGGGGGTGTAAGGTTTGAGGTTTAGGGCTTGGGGTTTAAGGTTTAGGGTTTAAGGTTTAGGGTTTGGGGTTTACGGTGTAGGGTTTAGGGCTTCAGGCGTTTAGGGGTTTGGGGTTCAAGGGTTACAGGACTTAGGGTTTGGGATTTAAGGTTTAGGGTTTAGGGGTTTGGGGTTTAAGGTTTGGGGTTTAGGGTTTTGGGGTTTAAGGATTAGGATTTAAGGTTTCAGATTTAAGGTTTAAGGTTTAGGGTTTAGGGGTTTGGGGTTTACGGTTTAGGATTTAGGGCTTGGGGTGTAAGGTTTAGGGTTTAGGGGTTTGGGGTTTAAGGTTTAGGATTTAAGGTTTCTGGTTTAAGGTTTAGGATTTAGGGTTCTGGGCTTAAGGTTTATAGGATTTAGGGTTTGTGGTTTTAAGGTTAGGGTTTAGCGGTTTGTGGTTTAAGGTTTAGGATTTAGGGGTTTGGGCTTTAAGGTTTAGGATTAGGGGTTTGGGGTTTAAGGTTTAGGGTTTAGGGGTTTGGGGTTTGAGGTTTAGGGTTTAGGGGTTAGGGGTTTAAGGTGGTTAGGGTTTAGGGTTTAGGGGTTTGGGTTTGGGGTTTGGGGCTTAAGCTTTAGGGTTTAGGGGGTTGAGGTTTAAGGTTTAGGGCTTAGGGGTTTGGGGTTTGAGGTTGAGGATTTAGGGGTTCGGGGTTTAAGGTTTGGGGTTTAGGGCTTGTGGTTTAAGGTTTAGGGTAGAGGGGTTTGGGGTTTAAGGTTTAGGGTTTAGGGATTTGGGGTTTAATTTAGGGGTTTGGGGTTTGAGGTTTAGGGTTTAGGGGTTTGAGGTTTAAGGTTTAGGG